ATGCTGGAGAATCTGAGATAACAAGTGTAGAGCTGGATGAACACAGCAGGCCAAGCAGCATCATAGGAGCAGGAAAGCTGACGTTTCGGGCCTAGACCCTTCTTCAGAAATGGGGGAGGGAAAGGGGGTTCTGGAATAAATAGGGAGAGAGGGGGAGGCGGATAGAAGATGGATAGAGGAGAAGAAAGGTGGAGAGGAGACAGACAGGTCAAAGAGGCAGGGATGGAGCCAGTAGAGGTGAGTGTCGGTGGGGAGGTAGGGAGGAGATAGGTCAGTCCGGAAAGGACGTACAGGTCGAGGGGGCGGGATGAGGTTAGGAGGTAGGAGATGGGGATGGGGCTTGAGGTGGGAGGAGGGGATAGTGGGAGGTAGGACAGGTTAGGGAGGCAGGGATGAGCCGCGCTGGTTTTGGGATGCGGTAGGGGGAGGGGAGATTTTGAAGCTTGAGAAATCCACATTGACACCATTGGGCTGCATGGTTCCCAAGCGGAATACGAGTTGCTGTTCCTGCAACCTTCGGGTGGCATCGTTGTGGCACTGCAGGAGGCCCAAGATGGACATGTTGTCTGAGGAATGGGAGGGGGAGTTGAAATGGTTCGCGACTGGGAGGTGCAGTTGTTTAGTGCGAACCCAGCGTAGGTGTTCTGCAAAGCGGTCCCCAAGCCTCTGCTTGGTTTCCCCGATGTAGAGGAGGCCACAACGTGAACAGCAGATGCAGTATACCACATGAGCAGATGTGCAGGTGAACTTCTGCTTGATGTGGAAAGTCTTCTTGGGGCCTGGGATGGGGGGGAGGGGAGAGGTGTAGGGGCGAGGGGGGAGGTGTAGGGGCAGGGTGTAGCATTTCCTGCGGTTGCAGGGAAAAGTGCCGGGTGTAGTGGGGCTGGAGGGGAGTGTGGAGCGGACAAGGGAGTCACGGAGAGAGTGACCCCTTCGGAAAGCAGATAAGGGTGGGGAGGGAAAATGTCTTTGGTGGTGAGGTCGGATTGCAGATGGCGGAAGTGTCGGAGGATGATGCGTTGGATCCGGAGGTTGGTGGCTGTTTCAAAATCTCCCGTCCCCCTACCTCATCCCCGCCTCCCTAACCTGTCCTTCCTCCCACCTATCCCCTCCTCCCACCTCAAGCCCCACCCCCATCTCCTACCTACTAACCTCATCTCGCCCCCTTGACCTGTACGTCCTGCCCGGACTGACCTATCTCCTCCCTACCTCCCCACCTACACTCACCTCTACTGGCTCCATCCCCGCTTCTTTGACCGGTCTGTCTCCTCTCCACCCATCTTCTCCTCTATCCATCTCCCCCTCTGTCCCTATTTATTTCAGAACCCTCTTTCCCTCCCCCATTTCTGAAGAAGGGTCTAGGCCCGAAACGTCAGCTTTCCTGCTCGGCCTGCTGTGTTCATCCAGCTCTACACCTTGTTATCTCATAAAATCAATTTGTTTACACAGATCTTCCCAACTGAAGATTATTTTCTGACGTTTGCTAAAATACTTTGTTATTATGAACTTAAATTACACTGCAAAAAGAATCAAATCTTAAAGGGTGCCAAAGTTCTCAGTTTTTCCCATGATACTTCTAATTTCTCATTTCAAAGTGGTTCTCCATAATCATAAAATTAACAGTAACCATTTGTGTTTCATTCTGTTTTATAACATAAACATGGGATTACCATACAACTTCAACTCAGATGAAAAAAATCTTACTGGGATACTGGTTTCTTCCTAGTAAGGAGGGTTTGTATGAGAATTTCCCAACAATGCAGTACAATGATATCAAAACTGCCCATTTAAATAATAATAATTTTATACTAATTGTGTAATTTCAAACTAAAAATATTCAATTTTTGATTCTACATTTGTCTTTGACGTGCCACATGCTACTGCTAGGAATGAAACGGAATATTTTGACATTAGTCACAAGTCAGCGAGTGCATGATCAGTTGGAGAGTAAAACTCCCCTTGCACAATTTAATAACATGCCTCAAGCTCAACTTAGAAAGTCATCTCAACATACTAATTAAAAATGCTTCCACTGCCCACAACAGCTATCTCTGTAGTTTAAATGACAGTACCCATTTACTGGAACACTTTGCAATTCAATTCCTTGTGGTGGACAGGTTTGGTAGGCTGAATGGCCTACTGCTGCCCCCACATCTTATGTGCCTCAGACATAACTCAACTGAAACATGTTCCTTAAAGATCGCTTATCACTCACTCACTTGTCTGGAATAGGTTTGAAACCGAGTTCTAAATATCTGAGTTGAAAGCAGAAACATTCCACAAATCACAACATGAATCTATCTTCTGTTCCTTCCACGAAGGCAAAACCAGCACTTGCACCTCTTCTTCGTTTTCTAAAATACATAACTGTAATTGCGTTCTGAAATATACAACTATGACAAACAATAACAGATTGGTGTTGGATATACTCGTTTACAACTTGCAAACTTCAAGTTACAAATATGCTTGTTTTTTTCTTTATTTATTCACGGGATGAGGGCGTCGCTGACCAAGCAGCATTTATTGCCCATCCTGAATTGCCCGGAGGGCGGTTAAGAGTCAACCACATTGCTGTGGGTCTAGAGTCACATGTAGGCCAGACCAGGTAAGGATGGCAGTTTCCTTCTCAAAAGGTCATTAGTGAACCAGATGAGTTTTTCCAAATACCGACATTGGATTCATGGTCGTCAATAGATTCTTAATTCCAGGTATTTATTGAATTCAAAGTCCACCATCTGCCATGACAGGATTTGAACCCAAGTCCCCAGAACATTAGAGATAGTAGGAACTGCAGATGCTGGAGAATCCGAGACAATAAGGTGCAGGGCTGGATGAACACAGCAGGCCAAGCTCCTATGATGCTGCTTGGCCTGCTGTGTTCATCCAGCCCTCCCCAGAACATTATCTGGGTCTCTGGGTTAACAGTCCAATTGGAATAATTTATATTGGTTCATAGTGCACGTAATCCAATGAGATCCAAAATGTATTTTCTATTTATCAAAATGACAGTTGAAACCAGACAGAAAAGCCAATAAACTTCTATAAAAGTGGACAAATACGGATCAGAAATTATTAAATGTGGTTTGTAAAACAGAGTTAAAGGAAGTGGAAGAAAAATACAACATGATGTGCCAGAGAGTGGGGTCTGTAGCTTCTTACTCAGTTCAATGCACATTCATGCCATTAGCTGGAAGACAGACACTAAATATTTCCTTTTCTTCCAGAGTGGGGGGAGGGGAATTCAGATAGCATCGTTCCCACACAACTATAGTCATGTCCATGTCCAGTCACATTAACAGAAACCCAAAAGCAAGCTGTATGCACACGCTCTTCTTCAAACAAACTGTATTGTGCATCAAGAAACTGAAAGGGAAGAAATGTAAACTTTAACCTAGAAAAAGGAAATTTTGAATAGATTTGCTTTTAATTATTGCCACAAATCCACACAGTCTGGAGTCACAAAAAAGATAATGAGAATATGGATCCTATTTAAAATTGAGTAATGATGCAAGGAATGGGCTTTACAATCTCAAATATTTATATAAACTGAAATATATGTATGTAATATTGCATTCACAATGAGCATCTGGTAATGTTATCAGTTGTGAGTTGAAGGAAGGCAGTACTCCTCACACTTTCAAATAACTATTGTGATCATTGATCTTGACTTGTCTATTTTCTTCAAGTAATTCTTTCCGATCACCAGACACACAAGGGTAGTCTGATTTATTAGACCTCTTCACGATGGCATGCTAAGAACTTTGTTTTTAATTTCTATAACTGCTGTACAAAAATCTCCATTTGAAAGCAGTCTCACTTAGTGGATGCTCTAGAATGTGATGCCCTTTTGGCACCGGTACATCTAATAACCCTGGTATGGCAATACTGCAGTATTGTAGGCACCATCAGTATCAGGAAGACATAGGTCTTCTTGCATTTTCACATTTTCAAAAATTAGGCAAGAACATTGGAGAATAACATTTACAAATCTTGTTTGAATTAATTGATTTTATGACTAAATTTAAAGTCTTAAGGTGCTATCGTTATAAGTTTAGTAAGACCGAGTGGATCATAAACCAAAACCTACAGTTTTCCTTCGACAAACCTAAACCACTTATGTCCAAATGAAAAAAAATACCAAGTCTTTAAACCTTTACTATTTTAAGTGGCATAACAAGAAATTGATCTCATGCTACAACAAATCTCTAAACATCTTGAAAAAGCCTTCACCTAATTTTTTTTAAAAAGTCTATTTCAGCATCTCAAAAACATAATGTAATGACAGGTTTTCAGAAAGAATAGTGAAACCCCTTTCAAAACAAAAAAAAGGCACAGTTCACTATACAAAAAAATACATCCCAAAGAATTAGTGCAAATTACAAAATATCAGCTAAAAATATACATTAATTTAACTTCAAGCAGAAGAAAATTAACTTGACAAGCAAAATAATTAAACATTAACATAATCAGTTAGAATTAATTTTATTCCCAAGACAATTTAGAAATGACGAACAAAATTAAAATGGAACTGATTACATTTTAAAATATAACTACCTTAAATTAAAACAAAAAGAAACGAGCTAGGTAGCTGTAAACTGATTGCACTGAAAGCCCCAGGCCTTCCCTAGGCCTTTCTTAGACTTGTTACCAATCCCCTCGGCTGCTGGAGGAGGGGTAACACTCAGTTGCAAACACCAAGATGTGGTGAGATGAAATGAAACGAGATGTCAAAAAAAAAATTTCTTTAGTGAAAACAGATGAGAACCACCCTGGATTTATTTATTGGACGGAGTGCGTGTTAAATCCCAAACTGGAAAATGAAACCAGAGCGATGGTGAGGAAAAAGAGGTGGGGGCGGTGATAGGTGGACTAAAATCATGGGGATTACTAGCAACAAACAAAACTAAAGATGCAATATAACATGAAGGAATCAATGAAGGTATTCCCCCCCTCCTCCTCTACAATTCTCTCCACACCTTATTCCTCATGGCCTTTCTTACCCAAGAGTAGCAGTTTCAGCTCCCTGCGTGCATCCCGCTTATCCCTGCGAAGCTGCCTTTCTATCTCGGCGTTAATTCTCTTGGATTCTTTCGCCTCTTCACTAAGGCAGCACGCCATGATAGAGTCGAGAGTCATGAAGCCTGAGGTATGTTGGGGATGATTTTCTCCTCACAGAAAGGCGAGCATGAAGGGAAGAGGGGAAGGGGAGGCGGAAGAAATTCCAAAAAAAAACTCCACAAAAGACCCCCGGGTTATTTTTTTTCACTGTGGAGACATAATCCTCCTCCGACAAATATTTTTCCCTCTCAAACTCTTGACCACCTCCTCCTTTCCCTTGATATTTTTTCTTCAGATTTTTTTTAAAAATCGTCTTTTCTTCTAATGATCTACATACATATAAATAAAAAGCAAAACAATAATAAAATGTCTTCCCCCCTCCTCCTCCTCAGAGGACTCTCTCTCTCTCATACACACACATACACCCCCACCCGCTCGAGCCAACTTGACGGCCGGAAGCGAAAGCTGATGGTTTTGGGCAGGGAGGGGTGGAGGGGGACAGGGAGTGCGCAGGCGCGTCGGTTGGCACTGAGCGGGAGTGTGGGCGGAGGGGGTGAACGCCGTGGGTAAAAGAAAGGAAGGGAGAGTGAGCGAGCGCCTGAGTCTGCGGAGGGCGGGGGGAGTCGGGGGGGGGGGGGGGGAAAACCGTATTTGACCGACGTCACGTATCGACCAATGGCGCCGAGGACTCGCGCGCGCCCACCGACCAATCGGGAGGGGTTAGGCGGGATGTCCGCCGCGCGAGCCCTGACGGTTGCCGTCTAGCGCATGCGCCCCGGCTGGAGGCGAGTTCTTGCCCATTCGCGCAGGTGAGGTTTGTCAAAGGCGGAAGTTGTGGAAAGCGTTTCATGGTTTTGGTGGCACTTTGGTAGCATTTCGACCAGGAGTCCCTGGGATCAAGTCTCAGCCTCTTTCCCAGGTGTGTTACAATGTAAAACAGAACGGCCAATGCTGGAAATCTGAAACAAAAGTAGAAATTGCTGGCGAAGTCTAACAATTCTTAGCAGTCACTAGATCTGAAATGTTAAGTCTGTTTCTTTCTCCACACGTGCTGCCAGATCTGCTAAGTTTTTTTTGTCTGTGTAATAACGTATCTGGTCTAGTGGATTTAAGAAAAAAAAAGACTATGCTGCAGCCGATAACCAGCTTCCCTTGTAACTTGAGTCGTTACTGTATTTTAATGTCCCAACATCTTGTCAATGTGGTGCGTCTGTGCTGGTTAGTATTTGTTTGCCAGCCTGAAGAGTGTTGTTTGATGGTGAAATTATCCCTGAGCAATACTGCTCATGATTCACCTGTAACATGTTGACCAATAATTGCTGCCCATGTCTCCTATAAATTGCCCTGAGTAAAGGTAAAATCACCAGAGACCTTCCAGACCGGAGGGCTGCTCTATCTCTAGACAGAGATG